TATATAGGGGGGGGGGGGGAGCCGATTATTCCTTGGCACTTTGTGTAACTCCAGCGCCAAGACAAAATTCTCGAAATTGACTATCTCTAGATGAATTCTAATAAATTCCAATGATTATTAAATATCTCTTCTGCTCCCGGACGTCGAGATTTTTTTAATTTTATTTAGTGTTTATTAGATCTATGCAATTTAAAAAAAAAGTTTGAACAAGAGCAGTCTTTGGCGGGGTTGGAACAGGCTTTCGCGGGGTTGGAACAGGCTTCTGCGGGGGTCGAACAGGGTTCTGCAAACTACCTGTGTTCGAACAGGCAATTGCGGGGTTCATGGCCGCATGGCCCCCCCTCCCTCAGTCATTAGTTGTATACTTTCGTAACTTTATCTAAACATATATTTGGCTTGCATGTTTATTATTGGTTTGTATCCAATAAACGTAAAACTGACTGAACCTTTCAGGTCCAATTTTTTGTGGTCGGTCAGAATTAAAAAAATATTGCCTCAAAATAATTTTGTTTTAAAATTGGAAATCCGCCAAAAAAACAGGAAATAAGCGAAATTTTCCTTGGAACTTAAAAATGCATGTTTAAATATACTATACGTTTAGATCCCAGAAAAAGGAAAAAAAATTAATGAAATAACATAAATAATAATAATATAAATATGAAACATTACTTAGGTTTGGGACCTCTGCCATGGGTTCTGAACGTTGAGCTTTTCCCCCCAGAAGCTAGGGTAATATAAATCAAATTAATTTAATAAATTAAAAAATCCATTAAAATTTTAAAAATCAATGTTACAATTTGACCTGAAATCGAAACTTTTATATTAATCTAAAGCGACTGAACTCAAATTCATCGTGGAAACTTTAAAGTTGATGAAATGCTTAAACCGAGAAAAATAGCTTTGGATTAAGTTAAATATTTAACGATTTCCGATCAGAATGTATTAACCAAATCCAAGATATACTTCGAAGGTTCGGAATAGTGTTTAAAACATATAAAGAATTCAAAATTTCGACCTCTGGTATCACTATGCAAAAAATGATAATTAAAAACGTCGTCATTATTCGTCTCGTTTCTAATCTTTCATCTAATGACGATAGAACTTGGACTTACACCATCGTAATTTTACTTACTTACACCATAATATATTTTGATATAAGGATGAAAAAAATAATTATCAAAAGTGTGGAAAACTAGTTAAAAAAATAATGAGGTAGTTTTGTTCAATCCATTAAGATTAAGTGTAGGACAGATAAAATTGTTCTTTACATAAAGTTTATCTGAGTTGAAACCGAAGGAAAATGATTGTAGATGAGTGTAGGTTTAAAAGCCTATGATCATATTTCATGAATTTGGCTCACTCTTCCAACCTTACTGCCTATAGATACTTCAGAGACCTAGTTTAGGTTTGTGTTCAATACTTTATCTTACTTTATACAGATAATAGCGTACTTATAGAGCAGCGCTACTGGGTGTCCCAGCTCAGGCTGCAATGGTTGACCCCCGAGTCTACCTTGGGTTGGTTTATCTCCTGTGCTCCAGGATACTGGTCCCTGTCTCAGGGTGCCACTACACTACTATAACTGTGAGGAATGGAACCTGGTGCTGTGGGAAAGGTTCAAACCAGCAAGATACTGGAGATCAAGTCAGTCTACCCATACCTCTACCTGCTAGTCCTTCATCTCCATCACCATCTTCTTCAACATCAACATCCCCGATTACAACAACCACAACTACACCTGGAACAACTTTACCTCCTAAACCTCCAGTTGGAGACTGTCAGTGCGGAAACTTCGTGGAGAGAATTGATGAGTCAGAACAGCTGAACCGAATACTATCTCAGGATACTCAAGCTAAACTCAAGAGACCCTGGTTGGTTCACCTGCGGATTGTTAAGGATAGTTTAAAGAAGATTGAATGCACAGGATCTCTACTGAACCGCAGATGGATTATATCCGCTGCCCATTGTTTCTGTGGAACTATAGTTCCTTGTGACGATTCAGGACATTCCTTTAATAAACAATTTAAGGTAGGAGATAAAGGATTTGAAAGAGCAGCTAAAGTTGAGATAGAAGTTGGAACCTACAAAGTGAATAACAAAACAGTGCATAGAATTCAAGAGTTGGTAATCCATCCAGATTATTACCAAAGTATTGGAGATACTGTGGTAGGACACACAGATGTAGCTCTTATTAAGACCAAGGAGGCGGTATTTGGACCCGGAGCTCCTAGTCCTGCTCCTGTGTTTGATCAGGAACAAGGAGATATTGAGATTCAACCTATCTGTCTACCTCCTAAACAAGGATTCAAGGTTGGAGATCTGGTAGGAGAACCTGTAGAGGATATGGACTGTTTTATAAACTCTAATGCAAAAGAGAGCTTTCCCCTTCCTTCTATAGATATTGAGAAAGGTTGGTTGTTCTGCCATCCCGCAGAATTATCAAGCGGAGACCAAGATCATATAATGGGAAGAAACTCATTCATCACGGCATACGGGTCCACAGCTAGACAGGATATAGACACACATCATGTTAGATATCAATGTCTGACCAACAGCTACGGACCTCCAGACAGTGTTCATGAGTTTTGTAGCGGAAAGTGTCACAAGGTGGTCAGTTCAGATCTTGAGGTCAGGTTTCAAGGTGAAGTAAAAACAGGGAAATTTTCAAATCCTTCTATGGCGGATCCTCTTTGTGAAAAGTTTATCAAAGAGAAATTGGATGAAGCTCTGAGTTTGCACGAAGAAAACGCCAACAAGATGAACACTCAGGGACAGATAATCGACCCAAGCCAGCATTTTCTCGGCTGGATTCAGATTTATCGGACATCAGACGATCAGAATATAACCTGCTACCCGCATAAGTATGAGAACGGATTGAAGAATGCTCGCGCTCTTTGGGACTTTCCGTTCCGACACGGTTGGTGTGAAGCTTGCAAGGAGGGATTTACCTCTGATTGTGTACCCGACTCCGACAAGAACTGGGGTTGGTGTCAACCAGAGTGTGATGAACCAAACGTGCAACCTGAGTGGCATAATACAGCTCATGAAGCTGTTGTGGATGCGTTTGTTTATGAGAACTGCAGCAAGAATATATTTACTCCGCATGAGTTCTGCACTGGAGCTCCCATAGTCTCCTCATTCGGCCAGATGTGGCTTTACGACGATATAGCGGATACTCCGGCATTTTTCTTTCACCGGAACCAACTGAGATCCACGAGGAAGGATCTGGACTGGAACGGAAATGGAACTATTCTCCGTCCTGGAGCTAAGTACCAGAATATCCAGCACTCATCAGCAATAGGAGATGCATGCTTTGGAGACGCCGGAGGATCTGTCTGGAAGTTTATGAGGTTTAGAGATGAAACAACAGCTAGACCACATAAGCTTGCAATCCTAACCGGAGTAGTTTCCAGGTTTGAGGAGTACTGTGGAGTATTCCGTCCTGACCAGCAGGATCACTACACTAAACCCGTCCAGCATACAATCCATACCAGAGTATCCACCATATTCGACTGGATTATCAAGTATATTTGGGATAAAGATGGAAAATGCAGTGAGCAAACCTAATTGTAGAAATTATATAAGAAACACCCTATAGTGTTACATCATTCTATATGTTTATATAAAAAATGTCTTCTTTACGACTTCTTGAATACCTCTTTTTGTATTAGTTATAATTAGTGAAATGATTGAAAAATATTAGTTTTTAATAAAAGTATATTTGTTTTACAGAATAAATTTTTTATTTTAGTATCTGAATTATAAACAACATTAATTCTAGTTTTATATTAAAAGTGTGACTAAAGAAATTAAAACAAACATGTAAAATAATAAAGTTAAGATATTAAGAAAAAATAAACCAACATTTTTTTAGTATGAATAACACGTTATTTCAATTTAATTCAATTTAATTTTAAAAAACTCAGTAATGAGGCAGAAATCTTCAATAACTAGATTCATTTGATTAGTGTGTGTGTCAAAGGTCTCAGCTTTAGGAAAATCACGCTTTGGTTTTAATAATGCTCGTGCAAGCAACAAAGGAATTGAGTCAATTCAATTACTTTTCAATTTTGTTTAGCTTTATCTACAACAGTTAATTCATATAATATTTTCGCTAATATTAATTAATATTTCCCAAAAAATCCATTGTAGAAAATACGGTAGGGAAAAAAACTATATGAGTTAAAAGTGACCAGGAATAGTTTTTTAGTATTACTGTTTTGGTTAAATACAAGATCAATACCGATTAATTCTGTTTAAAATTTAGGGTAAAGCAGCTTCTGTTTGCACCTGTTTTAACTGGTCCTGTTCTTATATAGTAGTCTACTTTGGTAGCATATTAGAGGAGGTGATCAAATTATATCCAGTGATAACCATGCATAAACAGGAATGATGATCGGTCACTCTTTCTTTTTTCAAGAAGGATTTTAATATTTGAAACTGTCAGGGGTTGGAAATGCTCTGCTAAATTCGTACCGGACCGGCCATATCCTCGTACTTCATTGGATTTAGTTCTGTCCCATGATTATCTAAACCTTAATAATTCAAAGAATTGCGACTTTTAAACTGTGATTTTAGCCGTTTACGCCTAGCCTGTCATATGACTAGTATTCTTATCTATCTATATGGATGTGAAGGCACATTTTTAAAGATAAACATTACAAATTACATAATCCTGGAAAATTTTATCATTTTTTTTTAGTTTTGAAATCATTGTATACGTAATAATGACGTAATTAATCAGTATTTCTACTTTTATGTAAATTCAAATTATTTAGGCAATCGGCTCCTCAAGTTGTTATTTTTTGTACGGGTAAGTAATCATTATCTTTAGTATTGAGAAAGTTTCCATTTAGGAAAAAAATACTTTACAAAAAATTCAAAAACTTGTGTGCAAGCTGTCCGTGTGATTTTAAAGTTTTTATAGCATAAAGCCAGACTTACGAGAGCTATTATTTTATATTGAAATTACATAATTGTTTTTAATTAGAAAATTAAATTTTTTTTTAAAAAATGTGAACATGTTTATTTGATTTAGCGGTGTCTGTATTCTGGGAGGAATATTTACATTAATATTTATACCAGAAACCAAGGGCAGGTTAGGATAACTTTTAATAATTATTATATTTAATTTTTTCTTCTTTTTTATTGCAGTTTTAGTTTTATGTCAAAGGCAAGCTTTTGTAACCTAATATATAATATATTTTGTAACCTAATATATGATATATTTTTTATTAAATTCACTGAGCTCTTGGGAAATCAATTATGTGCAAACACAGTTGACTTGGGCGTTCCAGGACCAGAGGCCGAATTTAAAGAATTTGAGCGGCGGCTTAAATTTAAGCCGCCGCTCAAATATGGTTGATTTCACTTAAAATTGTATTTAATGTTTCAAGATTTAAGCCGGCGCTGAATTGAAACCGGTTTTTGGCGGATTTAAGACGCGGCTCAAATTCATTAAATTCGGAAACTGAACTACCTAGAGACAAAACCTGAATCATTGATTCAAGGTACGTGGTTGAACCATCTCTAGACCTAGCCTGGGTCTAGCATGCACCAAGCTCAACTTCATTTAATCCGATTAACTTTACTTTTTAGCAACCCCGATTTTCATGAGTTCAAAATATGCAAAGCGCACCTTTCTGGGTTCAGTCTAACTTCCAATTTTGTCATGGCGAAAAAAATTGTTATTAAAGATTTATAGTATATTTTTAGAACTGAGGCTGACATGAGGAAACATTTTGAGTAGAGATTAGAGATTGCTGCTTTGTCCACAGTACGTCTGTATCTGTTAACATACAGGGTTACCAGTATCTGTTAACATACAGGGTTACCAGTATCTGTTAACATACAGGGTTACCGGTATCTGTTAACATACAGGGTTACCAGTATCTGTTAACATACAGGGTTACCAGTATCTGTTAACATACAGGGTTACCAGTATCTGTTAACATACAGGGTTACCAGTATCTGTTAACATACAGGGTTACCAGTATCTGTTAACATACAGGGTTACCAGTATCTGTTAACATTCATGGTTACCAGTATATGTTAACATACTGCAGGGTTACCCACAAAGAATGAGACTTCAGAAACGACTGTGCAGAAATTTCTGAGACTTTTTTTTAAAGTTTCCTCCAAATAGACACTTAACTTTTAACTATGACAAATCATTAAATATAGCCAATTAAAGAATTTATTTCAGTCAGAAAAACTAATTTTTTAAACTTCAAATCTTCTAACAACTGGGATTGAACTTTGAAGAAGCTCAAAACCGCAACGTTCATATAAAAATGCAGAATGAACTTAAAGAAAGAAAATATTTGTATTTCCATGATTACATGATTACGTTCCTTCTTTGGAACCATTTTACCCACTGTGGAGAGTTGTTAATGCCGGCAACATATATGATAACCACAAAATATTCTTCTCTAATTATCTAATTATCTAATTATGTTAATTATGTTAATTATGTTAATAATAGACGAATGCAGCAACAATTTAAACATCCGCATCTTCTCAAAATTTAGTTTTGGAACACAAAGAAAAAAGGATTTTTAGATAAAATGTCGCCTTTTGGCGTGCGATTCGGTTAAAGAATATGCTTTAAACATATGACGTCATTTGTGGGTCGGAGGTAAAATAAGTGTGGGTTAATGTATAGCTATAATTTAACTGAATTGCACACAAAACTGTGACATTTTTTCTTGAAAAAATATTTTTTTGTAATGGTTTCAACACTTTTTATGAGAAGATTATCGACCGCCCCTATAATTTAGCATATTATGAAAGAGTAAATTATAAGATTAAAAACCTTTTTACCCATGGATTGTCACAACTATTGCTTCCTTCAGCCAAGATATCTTCTATATACTGTCACCAAAAAAATATGATGATTATGATTATATGATAGATGTCATGACGTCTTAAAAAATTTAAACGAATACTTCATTCGTCTATATTATCATGCAAAGGTACAGTCTTTTTGCTGGAAGGGAAAACGAGTGTGGGTCGGAGTCTTTACGGGTAAGCGCGTGCCACAAATATCATTTTGTGACGTCATTTGTGGGTCGGAGGAGGGAGGGAACCCCCGGACGCCATGAGCCTCCGCTATGCAGATACAATTCTCCCATATTTGCAGTAAACGAGCCTCCACCATACAGCACAGTTTTTTAAAAATCTTGATTATTTTGTGTAATAAAAAAATTTAACAATATTTTTTGACGTATTGGCATAAGAATTTTACTAAAGATTAGAGTTATTTATTAATTGTCATGATTAGAAGCATGGACTCATAAAGTAGTTTATAACATATATGCTAAAACTTTAAACTTTTCTTATGCAGAAAGGAAGATATTTGGAGAAATATTTCTGGAATAATTTTAGTTTGTTTTCAACAATACCTTTTTTTGAAAAATGTTAAGATTTAAATAATTAATACGAATTTTCTTGATTTATTTTGAAGTTGAACTAAAAAAGGTATTGCTTAAATCAAAGATTATAAAAGATTAAATGAAGTTCAAATATTTTTCTCTAAATATTTCCATTTTGTGTAAAAAACATTTTATATACCACTTTATTAGTCATAATTAGACACTTTTTGTGATAATTCATAAATACTTCTAATCTTTGAAACACCTCTCATGCCACTATATCTAAAAATTTGTAAAAAAAATCTTTTGTTTAAACCTCCAGTATTACACAGGCACATGTTGATGTCTTGTGCTTTCTCATTAATGCATAGCTGAGGCTCAGTCTGCCTAGCAAATCTGGGAGGCTCGTGTCTTCATAGCGGAGGCTCATGACGACCGGGGGTTCCCTCCCTCGTCGGAGGCAAAACGGGTGTGGGTCACCTTCCCCCATCGGCGATTGGTCCACGTCAACACTCCATCCTATGTAGTTTATCCATGTATGTATATTGTATGTAAGGTCGTCATTGAGATCTCTTCTTTGTGGGAAACCGTTTATCTGTGAATTAATGGATTACTTACACCTATTCTTATCATCCATCCTTGCACCTATTCTTATCATCCATCCTTACATGTATTCTTATCATCCATCCTTACATTTAATCACCTATTCTTATCATTCATCCTTACATGTATTTTTTTTATATATGAATCATCCATACATGTATACTTATATACGTAGAGTTACCCGCAAAGGATGAGACTGTAAAGACGACCTAAAACACTTTAATAATGATTATGAAAGGGATTAAGTCTTCTGCCTTGAATGTAGCCTTTTAATGGAGTATAGAATGATTTAAAAAAGAAAAAACAAGTTTACGGTTGCAGGGATTCATGAGTACAAGGAAACAGACAGTATAAAGTCTGTACAGTCGTCTCTGAAGTCTCATCCTTTGTGGGTAATCTTGTACGTACATTCATCCTTACATGTACTCTTAGTAAATTATCTGACATTTATATCATGATTCATCCATGATGATTATAATCATATTCGGAAAAATCCCAAGCAATGTTAAATAGCATTCCTGTTATCAATATTATTATAATTTATACCTATTCTTAATATTTTATTATTATAATTATTATTATTGTTCAATTATCTGACATTTTTTATCTTTTTAAGGAATTATCGACATCGTTTCAAGTCACCCTTAATTTAAACCGCTATAAGCCCGAGTCACTCTAGTGCCCTTCACCTTTACCTCTTCATCTGATGATCCATTTTCAGAAAAGTCCCAAAATACTGTTAGATATAAGATTCGTGTGATGAATATTCTCAATTTACAATTCCTTCATATTATTTAAGTATCTGGTTTTTTTTCTCTTATTAGATTATTATTATTATTACAGGGTGTCCCAAAAAACATAGGAATTCAGTGACGAATTCGATATCGTCTTTGTTATACATTAGCATTGTAATACCTGATTTCAACAGCCATATATTATTATGCCTGCTAGAGTTTATTTCATGAAAACGGTAAATGGCTGTAAAGATGTGTCTATAATGTCTCCGCAAGATGAACAGTGAAGACGGACAAGTTTACTCTATTTGTATACTGTAATTTTCTTGTTTTACTAAGTACAACCGTATGCAGTTGCAAAACATAAACAAACAAATTGTAAACAAATTTTATAGCAGACGAAAATCTTATGGATTACAGCTTTCTCAGTAGGTATCACTATACTAAATCAAAGAATTTTTTAAAAAGACGTTATCGAATTCGTCACTGAATTCCCATGTCTATTGGGACACCCTGTAAGATATCTTTTTACGAAGATACATATCATATCAGGGTTCCGGGACACTCTCAAAATTTGTCGATTTCTAGGTTGAATTAAATCTTCTGCTTTGAATAAAGTCTTGAAAGAGTTTATTGACCGATTTGTTAAAGAGCAAAATCTGTTTACAGTCGTAGGGAGCTACAGGGTGTCCCACATCAAATTAGACCGCGTCAATGGGTCTAAATTACGATTTGGGGGAAAAATCAGAAAATTTAAGAAGAATGAATCATTTTGAAAAATTTAATAAGGCTAATAGAATTTATTTTTTGCAGAAAATGCTAGATTTTTCGAGAATTATGTGCGTATATTTAGGTGTTAAAGATTGGAGATAATCTAATATGATATGGGACGCTCTGTATGAATATAATTTTGTAAATTCTGTGCAGTCGTCTCTGAAATCTTATCCTTTGTGGGTAACCCTGTAGGCTGTATATAAGTTCTTTCAATTTATTTACAATCACAAAATAATCATTACTTGAAAGACAGAACAAAGACGATAATCATTGCAGAGTTGTCTGGTTACCCCTGCATTACCTTTTCAATAAGCTCTCAGCAGGAAAATAATTTCGCTGTATACCCTAACTGTATGTCTTTAATTAAAGGAATAAAATTGTATTATTATTTTAAATTGAAACATCAGATTTTGTAATTTGCACAGTTTTTAAATTTACAATGAACAAAGCCGAGTTCAATCTTAATTCAACTGATTCTATTTTTATTATACAGTGAGAACCAGAAAACTGTGGAAAAGGAAGACGACAAAGCAAATAGATTATTGTGACTTATTAAATCACTTATTTCGTGAACTGAATCAGATTACACTGCACTAATTCTGTGTATTGGATTCAAAGGAAATGTCGAATATTCTTCTGAACTCGAATTTATCCCTCAAATAAAATTAAGTTGACAAATAATATGGAAACTACAGAATTGAAAGAATAAATTTAATCGGTTGAAATGAGTTTCACTTATTGGTCCTTGTGATATGAAACATACAGTCCTATTTGAGTCTTAAAAAAGCGAATCATACAGGGTGTCCCACGAAACATGACATTTGATAAATAGTTATTTTTAGTTAAACAAATCTTTTGCTTAATTATATTTTACTTTGAAATCAATTTTAATATAAGATGACTCCCATATAATATTTTTATTGATCTTGGTATCAAACAACTGAACAAATAATGGAAAAAGACATTATAAACTATTCATCAACTGTCATGTTTCGTGGGACACCCTGTATGTATGCGTGTCTATCGCGAGGATTTATTAGTTCGGTCCTAATTCCAGCAAGCTTCGACTTGCGGTCACACTTAGACCTATCAAATAATATGTTTTGCCTTTTCATCTTAATACTTTTTTGTCGACATTTAGGTGTCCATAACTCTGCAAGTTTAAAGATATTATTGAACTATGACAAACACGCCATTGAAGAAACTCTAATAGAGAAGCCGTTTGCATCTGGTCCTGGGAGACCTGGTTAATCAAAGGTGGCATGTACTATGAATGCTACATTTAACAATCTAACTCGTAGTTTGAATAAAAAATTCAACTACCCGGCCCATGTAAAGCAAAGGAGAGGTTGCTTATTGCTTGAGATTATCTGGACTCTCTGTACACAGAGTAATGGCTTCGGACAAAGATTAATGAACAGATTCAGAAGTTGCAGGATCCGAACAAGGATTGCCTGGGTGGGTTGTTATCTAGTATCAGCCAGTCTAGTGAACAACGCATGTGGTTGACCCAAAGCATTTTGTGCAACAGAATTGGGCAAACGGAAATAGTCACTTTTGCTATACTTGGCTTTTAGTGCACTTCGCGCCCATCTTCTATTTCAACTTTAAAGTGCGGCTTCATTTGTGAGCATCTTCTCTTTGTACAGTATAAAACAAAAACAAAACAAAGTTTGCGGATTTCATATTATTTTTTTTCACGCATTTTCAAAATATTACAAGAATTAAAAACTTTTAAACAAACATTTTTGTAATTTTGATCATTCATAAACCTTCCCTGGGGCCACGTGCGGTCCCACACAAAAATTGGGTCTGATAGAAACAAACAGACAGACAAGTTAAATCTATATAGATGAAAGTTTACACCTGAAAGTAAGTTACTGAATGCTGATCCATCTTATCTCTAGAATTCTGTTTTTCTACATTGTATTGATAAAGAAAAAAAATTGAACACATAAAAATATATTTTTCGAAAGTGAAAAAAATAACAGACTGTATAGTGTATAAGGATAAAAAATACGCATCACAATATAATAAAAATAAGACGCATAAATATTTTACTGGGATAAACGATACCGACATATTTATATAAGATTTTTTATATTATTTAATCGAACAAAAACATAAAACTAGGCGTCGTAAATATAAATATGGCAAAATACTATACAAGGTAAAAATATTGGTTAAAAAAATGTCAAGATGATAAGGTACATTTCCATGGTTAGCTCTAGGCCTCTATATATCTATGCTCTCCCCCCAGGTTGTACCGTACTCCTGGTCGTGTGCAACACCTAGCTCCGCCTCTAGGGCATGAACCTGAGAGATCTGATATTGGATCAAATCCTTCCAGGGTAAACCAGCTTCTCCTTCTACCCAGCTGATAGGAACCACTTCATTTATCACAATCTAATCAGTTCAAGTTTAAAAACAAGAAACTGAATAAGGACACAAACAAAAACATGAACATGGACAAAACAAGGACAAGAATAAGGACAAAAACAAGGACAAGAACATGGACAAAACAAGGACAAGAACAAGGACAAAAACAAGGACAAAAACAAGGACAAGAACAACGACAAGAACAACGACAAAAACATGGACAAGAACATGAACAAAAACATGGACAAGGACACGAACAAGGACAAAGACAACGACAAGGACAAGGATAAGGACAAGAGCAAGAACAAGAACAAGAAAAAGAACAAGAACAAGAACAAGGACAAGAAAACGGAAAAGGACAAGGACAAGGACAAGGAAAGAAACAAGAAAAAGAACAACAAGGAAAAGAACAAGGACAAGAATAAGGTCAAGAACAAGGTCACAAGGACAAGAACAAGGACAAGAACAAGAACATGGACAAGTGCAAAGATATAGACATGGACAAGAACAAGAGCAAGGACAAGAACAAGGGCAAGAACAAGGACAAGAAAAAGAACAAGGACAAGAAGAACAAAAACACGGAAAAATACAAGGACAAGGAAGAGAATAAGGACAAGAACAAGGACAAGAGCGAGGACAAGAACAAGAAAACAAGGAAGGAATAGCACAAGAACAAGAACAAGGACAAGAACAAGGAAAAGAACAAATAAAAAGAACAAGAACAAGGAAAAGAACAAGGACAAGAACAAGGTCAAGAACAAGGTCACAAGGACAAGGACAAGAAGAAGAACAAGAACAAGGACAGGTGCAAAGATATGGACAGGAACAAGAAGAAGAACAAGAACAAGGACAATTTTCATCTGTGATCCGGACCGTAAATCCGCATTAGTTTCATACCATACCTTTAGTTTTGGTGCATGATTATATGTTTCTATCTTGGAGGAAACCTTGAATATAAACGGTTGAAAAGTCTTCGAGGATAGATGACTCTGAAATATAATAAACTTTACCGTCCAATAATCTATAAAATAAAACAAGACATTCAAATATATATGCTGCGTATAGCCGGCCAAACGGCTGGACCAATTTGGCTGAAATTTGTTAGCCTAATTTTTTTTTTCACGGACAACGCCGGGCCCTTCAGCTAGTAATCTTTATAATAAAACAAGACGTTCATATATATATGTTGCCCATGGCCGGCTAAACGGCTGGACCGAATTGGCTAAATTTTTTTTGTGGACACTCATGGGTTGCCGGGGGATTGTCTTCGGCAACGCGAGACCTTTCATCTAGTAATATTATATTTTCTCATATAACTATTAAAAAGACCAAACAGTTAAGAATTTCTTGTATTAAGTCTTGTACATTAAAATCAAAATTGGAGGGACTGCAAGATCATAAAGTCGTTTCAGTAATGTCGCATTAATTTTATTTTCTCCTTCTGTCCTTAGTAAAAGACAAAATGGATAATAAAAATCTACAAAATAACAATAATGATAAGGATAATAATAGTCACCATAATAATAATAATATTTAAAATTCGGTAATGGTGATGGACCAAACCTCTGTAGAGTAAAAGTCGATTTTAGTTGCACATTTATTGAATAATACTATTACTAATAATAACCTGGAACTTAGTTTCATCTTTCTCCTGTAGCTCTGACATCTCCTGAGCACTCATGTTAAACAAGGAGACAGCATCAAACATTGAGCACCAGCTGTTTGATGTATAGTCAGCTATATTCAACTATCAATAAAATTCAGATTATTGATGTTTCACAGAGAACTTAATTCAGGTATAATCCAAAAACCAATTTGAACCAGGCAGCCAGGGAGTGGGACCGAATTTGATGAATTTAGGCTAAGTTCAGAGACGGTTCAACCACGTATCTTGAATCGGTTATTCAGGATTTGTCCATGATAGATTAGAATCAGGATTTGGGATGAAGGGAACATTAAGATAGTTAGGCGGTAGGTAGTTCGACCTACCTAAGTCAACATTTTTTTAATTCAGTTCCTGATCTGCCAATTTCAAATAGAAAAAAATCCGACAATTTGATGGACAGATTACAACAACATTTTACAGATTCTTAATTTACTTTAAAAATGCCATACATAAATGTGGAAATTAACTATAGTTTTCTAATTCCTATTTCTTTGCAACTTAATGTGTTATTTTAAACCTTTTTGATCTAACAAAATTCACAGTTTTAAGGATCATAGATAATCACCATCAGTTTGCAAAGATTAGAAAACTCGAATTTTTGGCGGCTGTGCATTACTTAAAACAAATAAAAAAACCTACCCTAACATTGAACCGTAAGGTTGTATCACACTCCTGTATATCTCGTCTGATACACTTACTGCACTCGAACCCACTACTCCCAGGCACCACTTTCTTGTTACATCTAGAAATATGGGGTTGACACTTGATTATTGATATCTTTATATACGCAAAAAATAAGTCTTTTATAAGTTTTATTCACACAAGGAAAATACTAAATCATAATATTGAAAATACATCTTTTAAATTGATTTGTCCCCTTATTTATCGCGCGCACTTATTGTGGTATAAAAATGTGCATCAAGGAAATTACATTCATAATAAAAAGGTTGAGGGGCGTATTCAGGAATTTGTTANAGAACACGTTTACTGAAAGTATAAATTAATTACAATTAAATTATATATTTTACATAAATCTAAATATTTATTTAAACTTTTAACATATTAGCACTAAAAAAGGTTTAAAAGTTTATCCTTTCTTCAGTACTAAAACATCAAATTTAAGCCCTATCTCTTTATATTGTAATTGTACAATATGTAAATTTTTGCAATGTGTGTATCACATTTAACAAAGCGAAATTTCTTCAGAAGTGTGTGTGTGTGTTACTGTGTGAACTGTATGTAATTAATTGCAGAAAAAAAAGTTTTAAAATGGGGCCATAAATGGAGGGTGGTATCTCCGGATACAATCAACCTACCTATACAAACACATGTCTATACCTGGTTCCTGTAGGAGGGGTGTGTGCTCTATAGAACAAGTTTTCATCTTTAATCACGATGATCCAACCGTACAGATTAAACCTTTTCTCTCCTCCACTCACAGTCAGAGCATCCTGAACATAATTTAAAACTTCACGACACAAAAAGACAATTTTCACGCCTTATTGAATATTTTTACCTTAAGCTCTTGTATGGTCGTGAACTCCTCTTCAGTGCTAAAAAAAGAAATAGTTAAGTCAAAATTTATTTTTGTTTAATTTTTGTTTCCATTTATTATGACTGGCATCTCTTTGATATATTTTTTGGTACCTTGATTTGTTGAGCTGGGATGGGGGTTGTGATTGAGAGTTTTGAAGAATGTTACTCCAGGATACTAGATCCTCAACCCTGGGATTATTTGGCTCAACCTCGTAGCTCCCGGAGAACCCAATACTCAGATTCTTCACGTTATTCCATTCTCCAACCTGAACAGACAATCCATCATTCAATGAATTAGGGGTCAACGATCCTTGCCACCGCAGTACAAAACGGCCTGCCTTGCACTAGGAAGGAGACTAACCCGGGCGGTTTGTACTAAGTATCTTTGCTTTAATAATAAGTTATCAATTGATACAAAACAAATATGTGGCCTAACACAATATTAAGCGTGGATCTTCATAAGCCACGCTTCGATCATGATGGTTATTGGTTATCCACATAGAAAGAGATTTCACAGAGATGACTGCCGCAGAAATTTAATTTATATTTTTAACATTTATGATTCCATGTGAACTTTTTCCATTCGTTGCAAAATCATCTCTTAGTTCATTAAAGACAAAATTTTATAACTCAACTTTAGGGTCGTTTATTTATAAGAGGTTTATGTTGTCATCGAAGTTTCACCATATTTGGTCAACCCTGTAAATAAACAAAACAAAATCACTAAACCATTTCTTACCTTTGCTCCCTTTAAGGCGATAACCCTGTTGTTGTGGTTGAAGTCCACTGCCATTCTGCCCCATAGAGTTAGTGATATACTGCTCCCTCCCTCGCTATCATCGGCTAGGATCAATTCTCTTTTCTTCAAATCCCTGAAAGGGTTGTTTGATGAAGAATAGAAGATTTTTTTTTGAAAATAAAACATAACAAAATAATGATTCTTACTTATCGGCTTTACTTCGAAACTCAATAACGTTTCCAGTCTCTTGCACCCACGCACAGACATCACAACTACTGTCTTTCTCCAATTCTCTAGCAAATAAATAGGTAGTTTTATTACTTAAAATTTTTCAGATTTGATGTATTTGATTCAGTTGGAATTTAAAGAATTTATAATAAAACAGAGATACTAAATCTCAAAATTATGCAAAATGATTAATTGCTCATTTTGAATATATTAATCGATTTTTAGATAAAGGTTGAATAAAAAAACTAAGATGGATCCGCCAATTTTTCATTCAAAAATCCGCGAATCATTTATTGAAAATACCCAAACCAGCATTAAACTCCAAACTAAGCAGAAGAAATGGCAGCAACAATAGTCGGTAAATATCGGAGAGTCTCAACCGAGAACTACGAGGAATTTTTGAAGGAATTGGGTGTCAACTGGATAATGAGAAAAGCTGCAAACTTGACTGTCCCAATTCTAGAAGTCACTGAGAATAATGGTCTCTGGAAGATTTGCACAGGAAGTGGAGACCCTCCTAGTTGTTCAGTAGAGTTAGAATTCGTCCTAGGCGATGAATTTCAAGAGACAACAGCTGATGGAAGAGAGGTGACCTCTATTATCAACCTAACTGGAACTACTATGATTCAAACGCAGATGTCTAATTCAGGGGGCCGCAACTCAACCGTAATTCGCGAGTTTCTGGGAGATACTGTTACGGTTACATTAGGAGTAGATGGCTGGCCACGTTCCTGTGTACAAGTATTTGAAAGAATACAATAGAGGTTCAAGCCCTGAGCACTTTTGATCTTAGAAGAAGAACATCATCTATGATCAATGATCATCTATAGTAATTGTTCTAAAATATGAAATAAACTGTGGATTTGTTCATTACTTTTTTTTAAGTGCTCTTATGACTTAAGAAAGAATATAATATATGTCAGAGAAAACATGTATTCTGAATGAATGCGTTACATCAGAGTAATGCAAATCATAAATCAAAATTATTTAAATATTATATGGTAATTTTTAGCAATATCTTGTCACTAAGATAAATATTCAGACCAAGGTTGTAATGCAAGGAAAGTTAATTGCAGTTAATTGTGTATACTCTGCGTACATATTGAAACCAGTTCTCTCTGTGCGGAATTTGTGAACAAGAATAGATGCGTCAGTGTTCGTTTAGTATCCGAGGAGGTTAAAAGCATTAAATTTTGATAATTTTGATAATACGCATGATAGTTTTCTATGACCAGAATATTTCATTGATTTTTTATGTGAAAGATGGATCCCATGTCTCCCATGTCAGGCTTCGACATCCGTCTTGTGTATACATTACCGCCTAGAGACAGTACACTGCCGTACAAAAATCGCAGTACTAGTAAATATTATAGTCTACCTATAATAGCATAAAATGTACAATATTTAGCTCAGAAAACAAACTTAGTTTATAATCTTCTGGATCACAAGAAGTAAACTCGAGAGGTCGAATTATTTAGATTTTATCTCCTACCTTAGTTTAGAGATTGGAACAAACTTGTATTTGATGTTGACCGGATCGGAGAGTAAGGGACCGATTGCTTGCGTATTTTGGTTCCATATGAGCTCACAGTGATGGCCGGTTGAATTAAAACGTGCATCTCTAAATAAGGAATTATTGTTATCAGGACTGAAAATGGTATAAGAGGTTAGATCAACTTAATTTTCTTAAACTGTCGTTAGTTTCAGAAAAATCCACCTGACTGGAGTAATCCTAGCTCCGGTCAGAAGATAGGTGCTTCCGTTCTCCAAGGTTGAATTCAACATCTCTGCCTCGGTATTAAATGCTTTAAGCATGATATCTCCAGTGGAGTCACTGAGAACACAGCTTATAACCTTCCCTTTCCATCCACCCGAGCTAGATATCTCTTTTAAATCTTTCTTCTGTGATACACGAACCTACAAAACTTTAGATATTTAAGATATCAAAAACTTTGAGAAACAAGTTAGTTATGTTCAAGTTCAAATTGTGTTTTTCTTCCTAAATATACATAATCTACATATATAAAGTAGTAATCTCTGTTTGTTTGTTTGTTTGGATTTTCGACCACAACTCATAAGTGAGTTGACTTTTCTAGAGAAATTTTCTATTCCAGACAAAGCTGGGTTTCCAAGCTAGTTAAAAATAAAAGATCTCCCAACGACATTGAAAAAGATTGAAATAGCTTACACATCGCACAATGGTTTGAATACGCTAGAGAACCAAGAGCTATTTATAAATAGTTCATTTAGGAAGTTGCCCTGTCAAAACTTGCATTTACGAATACTGTGTTTAATGAAATTACCTTTATCTTATATTTGTTCATGAATGTTTCAATTCCAGCAATCTGATGAGTCGCTTTCGTCCCTCCTCCCCCTGCACCGTTACTCTGTCCGGTATTTTGTCGTTTAGGAGAAGGAAAAGACTCCGCCAGGTTTCTCTTTACTGCTTCACGGTTCGGTTTCCTTTCCGGGGTACTAACTTCAGTCCTTGGTCTTACAGCAGGAGGAGGACCTGGGATACTCAGGTTAGGAGGGGTGGACAAGCTTCCTGTTGCACTACCTTCATCCATTTTTGCACCAATACTCTTAGGTGTTAAGGGTAGCTTTGTAGCACTTTGTTTTGTGAGTTTAAATCCCACTTCGGTTCCGTCCTGAAGGAGAATGTAATGATGGAATAAATACGCGTAGGATTCCTGTCCATCCTTCTCCAACTTTCGTACACAACTCTCTCGGCAATCCTCAGGAAGTGTATCCGTCCCAACCCTTCAATTTTTTTTACAAATTAGTGATTTTTTTAATGGACTTTTTATTTACTTTACTCAAGATAGGAAGAAAGTACAAAGTTTACAATTCAGTTTAACTAAATATTTCTAAAATTTTAAGAATAAAGAAACCAGAAAATGAATTACGAGAAAAAATTCTTTCAATACTTTATAAACGTAGAAGAAAGAAAAAAGTAAACGTACTTTTCCATCAAAACATTTCATGTACTTTTATAATTCAAAACTTGTATTTTTAATATAAATTGAAAAAATCAAAAACTCTTGATTTTTGAGAAATTAAATCTAACCTGATAATAGAGAATTTGGTTGGAGGGGAAAGAGTGCTAGTTATGAGGAGTCCATGTTTATATAATGATTCTCCGTCCCAGAACATTATACGATATCTTCTATCAGCTTCATTCTCATCACTTATCAACTTTGTGGCAATAACCTGGTTTAAAAAGATTAAAATTTTTTTGAACTGTGAAAATGAAATAAATGAATAATATTACATGCATTCCATAGTGAATAGCATAAAGATAACCTTTTCTTGTGTATCATTAAAGGTTATATTTTGAGAATTTAACATCAGAAGTATTAAATACTATAAAAAAAAGGCATTAAGCCTTATATTTTAAACTGATTTTTTTATCTTTGACGCTAAAGGCCAGTGGTAATTAATTATAAGATTTTTGTATTTAATATTAATTCATGAAAGTTTCTTTTATTTAGAGCACAAGTGAATTGTAAATGCAAATGCAAATGCAAATGCAAATGCAAATGCAAATGCAAATGCAAATGCAAATGCAAATGCAAATCAATCTATTTATCTAATCGATTTTTTCATTAAAATAATAAATACTTCATTTTAAAAAAATTTTTTTTTGACAACACTGACTTAATAACAATACCTGAACCGAGCAATCTGTTGGAAGAATCCCTCTCATTAAAGTTCCCGTTAAACAACCCCAATCAATCCTCGACATTTTGTAAATTTATGTAAATTTTCAAAAATTTACAAACTTTAGTTACATCTGAAAATATTTATTGCTTTATACAGAACACGTTTACTGAAAGTATAAATTAATTACAATTAAATTATATATTTTACATAAATCTAAATATTTATTTAAACTTTTAACATATTAGCACTAACAATGATCCTGTACAATGTAATGTATTTGCGTTTAGTAATAGTCATGGACTCTGGTCAATACTAAATCATAAAAATAAATTTATTATATCTCGTTTTCAGATCAATTCACTGGATATTACTTACAGTAGGACCCATAAATCTGTGGAATTGGTAGACGATATTTAAGCAACCTTCAAGATATTTAATGGTGTAAAATAGTAGTTTAAAATCTATTTTTTAAGAGAAACTGAAATTGACCTGTACAGTGTACACTGCACCTTTGCGGTGCTTCAGTTTCACTGAACTTTTAAACCAAAGTGGATCCAAAAGTCTTATTCTACAGTTTTATGAATCACACTGTAGTCAGAATAAGGAAATATTTACGATGGTGAACATTTTTACAAAATAAGAAGACGAATAGGAAAGAAATCAGAATATATTAATTAAAGAGGAATAGTTTTTAAACCTGAAAAAAACCCAGAGTAGTTTGTTTTACGTCACGGAGGTATTGGCTGGATAATTTTGTGATTGTAATTCTTTTAAATTTTAAACAATGATAAAAACTCAATTTCGATATTTGAAAATTTTCCATCGTTAAATAGAAAATTGCGTTTTAGATATTTAAATACTAAAAACATAATGAACGCCATGGAATCTAGTTTAATTAAAGTCTTAAAGAAAAGGGGGTGACTGGCCTCTCTATCTAGGACAAGGCTTTAATATCTGATGGTTTGAGATTTCTCTGCTTCGGTAAACAGTCTACTCAACCATTCACTTTTTAAATGGGTTTGAAGCGTAGAATATTATTAACAAAACTGAAGACGTAAGTGACCCTCCATTTATAGAGTAGCATGTCCAATTCACAGCGATAACCTGTCAGCGTTTGTCTGATTAATAAAATACTGATTATTTCAAAATGGGGTTTCTCTTTCTAGAAGTATCTTGCGGATTTACGCTGCAAAGACAATAAAGAAAATTATCAGAATTCCATCCATTTTACCATGGAAGAACTTTGATATCATCGTAATATTAATGGACGACTCTTTAAATTACGTCTAGAGTACAGTTTAGACGATTCCAGAAACCTGAGTCCTAAAAAAGAATATTTAATACGGAAAGTTTGTTGCTCTTATCAAAGAAGTGAATTCCTTTTTTTACTACTATGCACTGGAGTCTGTATCTTGAATTAGAACTCTTCTCTACTAGCTTTCATTACACTCTCAAGTGCCAAAGCTTTGCTGAGATCACCTGAAATACAATCAATTAATCAGCAATCAAGAAAAATTATAATTTAAGCAATCTCAAGTGCCAGAGCTTTGCTTAAATCAACTGAAATACAATCAATCAATCACCAATCAAGAGAAATTATAATATAAGCAATCTCAAGTGCCAGAGCTTTGCTTAAATCAACTGAAATACAATCAATTAATCACAAATCAAGAGAAATTATAATTTAAGCACTCAATAGAGTTTTGCAGTGAGTAAAGATTAGAACATTTCAGGTCTAAATGTATAATTGGTAAATAAACATCTCATCAATAAATCAATAAATTTTTTATTTCGCAATGTTTGAGCTATAATGCGGCACAAAATTACACGATTTGATAAGCCTTAATTTTAAAAACATTAGGGACATTTATTTTGCAATGCGATAATTCAATGACAATTCTATGAATTTGCTTTTTTAAAGGGACCGTTCACTTATTTGGGTAATTTCAGGGTAAACTAAACAGCCTAT